ACATATTTTTAGTAAATACTAAGTCATTAAAATAAATTTGAAATCAAATAAATGACATGTAATTCGTTAAACCTATTAAAAATGCGCTATAGTATAATTCGTGATATAAATCAAAAATCGTCAAATAAATTCGTAATATATAAATCCGTGAAAAAAGCGCTTTCGACAAAATACTAAAATAGAGATCTATCGACAAAGACTACTCACTTCTGCCTAGCTTAATAGTATGAGATTGCCGCAGCTGATGCTCTCTGGTTATTTCAGTTTCCGTTTTTAAAAGCGCTATATTTTGAACCAACTCAGCTTGATTTGGCATGTGACATTTTTAGCTGCAATCATTGGTCGATTCGCCGTGTAATAGAAATAGTAANAGATTGCCGCAGCTGATGCTCTCTGGTTATTTCAGTTTCCGTTTTTAAAAGCGCTATATGTTGAACCACCTCAGCTAGATTTGGCATGTGACATTTTTAGGGGCAATCATTCGCCGTGTAATACAAATAGTAACGTAAACAAAACAAAGCAAACGTTGCCACCGGCGGAAAGGAAATATAGCCAAAATTTGGGAGCCACGTAAGAGAATTATATACATTAGATATAGTGAACACATAAAGACCGACACACACATTTACAATAATTACAATTAAGTATTCTTTTTTCTTTACCGTGATATTTTAACCGATGCATATTTTTATACTGCAGGGAATAATAATATAATTTCTCTTCTGTTTTTTTATAGTATTCTTTGGTTTGTCGAAGGTGGACTTCCATTCAGAAGTTTTATAACATCTACATTATATTACGATATTTGTACAAAGACTATGAGTTCAACTAAAAGAGCTTTAACACTGGAGAGCTTGACTGGAGCTTTTATTGTTTACGGAATAGGCATTTCTATTTCAAGTTTTGTTTTCATTTTAGAGAAACTTTTGTGCCGTAGGAGGAACAATTCTATTCTTTGGTTAAAAGATGAGAAAATTGTAAGAGAAAACAGATCGATGGCAATCAAATCGCATTTTTTCCGGCTTCAATAAATGTTTTTCAAAACCAATAGGATGGAAAATTTTTATACAATGTTTTTCTTTCTTCAGATTTGTATGGCTTCTTTTTAACTATCTTCAATTATTCCACTAAAAACATCTTTCTTTCTCTTTATAGTTTAACCTTTAAAATTATTCTATTTTTATTTTCTTTAAAAATAATATTTAAAACAAAGCAAGCATAAATAATAAATTATTACAAAAATTTAAAAACAATTTTTAAGAAAGTTTGAAACAAGTTTAAACCCTAATTATTTTCATTAACGAAAAGTTTTTTATTTTTTAATGCATATTTATTATTGTTTTTTTTACGATCAGAGTTAAACTACATAAAAAGGTAGTTATTGTTGTATTCCTGCTAAAATTAAGCTTTTAGTGGCTATAAAAATACGTTAAAATGTTTTACGTTATAAACTAAATGCTTCATTAAAATAAAATAATTTTTTTAGCAATATTCTGAAGATTTAGTTCTTATTATTTCTTTACAATTTTAAATAGTTATTTTGTATCCATTTTCTTCATCGTATTTTCACTTGAAATTTATTATATACGCAAATATGATTTATAAGTAAATACACTCTATAGCAAAAAAATCGACGAACCAAGAAGGAGTTGTCCGATTGAAACGAAATTTGGTGGATAGGAAGACAATGTACATAATAGTAAATGATTAAAATTTCAGAACAATTGAATAATTTATTGCAGGATAACAGTAACAAGTTCAATAAGGTGTTGATCCGCCTCTAGCCTGGATACAAGCTGTCACACGCCGTGGCATAGACCGATAAAGCTCCCGGATGGTCTCTTGCGGTATTTCCTGCCAAATTCGATCCAATTGTCGAACGAGGTCATCAACATTCCGTGCCAGATGCAATCGCCTTCCCATCATATCCCAGACATGCTCGATGGGAGAGAGATCTGGTGATCTGGCAGGCCAAGAAAGAGTTTGACAAGCTTGCAGACAGTTCATAGCAACACGTGCCGTATGTGGTCAGGCATTGTCCTGCTGAAGAACCAGCCCAGGGCGCTGCAAAAGGAACGGTAGCAAGCAGGTCTTAAGATGTCGTCGACGTACCGCTGTGCAGTAAGTATACCTCTAATGACGACCAAAGGGGTCCGGCTTTTAAAGGAAATGGCACACCAGACCATCATGCCTTGTTGAGGCCCAGTGTGGCGTGCAATAGTGAAGGCAGGATCCCCCTTCTGCCCTGTGCGTCTCCAAATACGTCTTCGATGATCGTCAGGACACAGTTGGAAGCGGGAATCGTCGCTAAAGACTATGCGTCCCCAGTCGGCATCATTCCAGTCATATCTGTTCAAAACATTCATACATACGAAATTTCAAAGCAATCGGACGATTGCTTCTTGGTGCGTCGATTTTTTTGTTATAGAGTGTATAGCATATAAAGCATTAAACAACTGTAAAACGAGAACTTTTTTTCGATGAAAAACTGAGCAGTAAATCAATATCCCACGATTCTTTATAATAAAATAAATAAACATCACTTTTAGTTTTAAATTTTTAATTTTGTATAATAATAAAATAAAGCCTTATAAAACATTAAGTAGATAGTTAACCATAATAATGAAATATTAAGTTTTTAGCTCTTTACTATATTGTAAAATCTTTTGCAAAAGTCGAAGCAATTTACATTGCTGTATTTGAAAACCTAACCAACTTTGGGGGTTAGATTTTTTTTGAATATTCAAAGCAATAGTAAATTTCATGCTTCAATATTTTATTTCATAAAATTGATTTATAATGATTTTGATTATTACCATTTGTAAGCAGCTTGAACAACGAATAATCGCGGGGATCATTATTTAACCAATTAAGCTCCAAAAGAAGTTAAAGACTGGTAACTAATTTTTTTTTATTCTTTATATTTACATTGGGAAAGCGGAACATTAATTTCAATAAAAAAAATATCAATAACATGTAAATCTAAGTTTATGTTTAAAATCATCAGTTATTATATTTTTTAATAAAAGTATTAGCTTACAATAACAAATTTCCATCAAATTTATATACGATTCTGTAACTACTTTTTTCATTAAAACGCTTTCCTTATTACTGAAAAGAAAAAATAGCTGGTATATGCTTAAGTTCGGACGAAATTAAATAAACTGAGCATATTCTTAATTCAGTGCAGTTTGCACTCCGGAAACGAAACTAAATTGAAGTAAAATCATTTCATTTCTAGCTTGATTTTGTAAGGAAAAAATGTCTCTGATAACTAAGAATTATTACCAATTACTTCCCGCTTTGGGAAAGAGTCTGGTAAATTCATTTTAACTTTTATAAGTATTGGTAGCTTTCATTGTTAATTCACAACAACTTTATATATTATACAGCGCAGCCAGCGATCTATGCTTAGTGTGGAAAGTTCTTTCAATAAAACTATTTCCTACGCCACCGCATGAAAAGTTACTTCTCGATGAAGCTTTCAAAATAATAACAAAACTAGCCAATATAATTGAAGCTTTTGTTTCTGATCGTCTTCTTTTCTAGAAAATATTTTGACAAAATTGTAGTAGTTGCAGACCTGTATTATGGTCAGCTAGGACTTCCTTGAATGAAATGATAGACTCATTTGTATTGATAAGAAAAACGCCTTTATTAAATATGTGGTAGCACATATGTAATTAAATTCTGTGGATATTTCATTTGCAGGGATGCCAACTTGTTCCGCTTTGTAGAAAAATGTTTCCTAGTGGTAACGAAATTTAAGCTGTTTTTAGTTCAGTATTTTTCATTTTAAGAACATCAAAAATTTCAGGTATCATATGAAATGCAACGTTATTGCAGTTATCTCTACCAATTTGCATTTCACTTACCAGAAAGAGCCGCCTTAAAGATAAAATTTCAAGAGGGATAGGAAAAGGGCCGCTAACGGCCTCAGACGCCCAGATAGATTTTGATGATGATAATGCAGTTATCTCGTTGACCCCACAGTATATAACTACACTGTCAGAACTCATTGATCATCCATCCACATGAATACTCCTTTACTTCATTTGCATTCCACCACCTCATCGACTCAACACAAAGTTCAAGTTAAAGATGAATGGAAAAAGGGCCGCAAGCGTCCTCAAGGGCCAAGATGTCTAATACAGTTCAGTTCACTGCAGTTATCACGTGGTAACACTTTCAAAAAGTGGACGTAATTACCATTAGTCTACAAGTTTTAAAATTTTATTTATTACCAATTTATTGAAACTTTTGCAGAAAGCGGAGCCGTTGACATACCTGTATTTATACAGCTCTCAATACGATTTACAACTATTGTAGCGCTCACTTATTTTCATAACCAAATATAAATTTTAATATTATTAATAATTTTTGTTGGAAACGATAACGTCTTGCTTATCCACGATCAATGCTTATTATGAAATCATTTAGTTTTTCCGCATTATATTTTTATAAAAGGGACTTTTTCTTAAAAGGAACATATGGGTTTACGTATATATTAATTGTAATTTTTTTTTTAACAATATGAGCGATAATGCTCAAATTTGGAAAACATGCCTTTATTTTCAATAAATAAATGAAAAATAAGATTAGTAACTTTATTATTTTATTTTAAACATTTATTTCTTACAATTATTTCGTTCTTGTATTGATATAGGTAGCTCTCTGCTATTAATATAAATAACGGTTATCTATATATATATTTCTCTTTCACGGCGACAGAAAAAGCCTCATTACAACTCCCCGAATGGCAACGCTAGAAAATCGACCAATGATTGCCGCTAAAAATGTCACATGCCAAATCTATCTGAGATAATTTAACACATAGAGCTTTTAAAAACGGAAACTGAAATAACCAGAGAGAGCATAAGCTAGGCAGAAGTGAGTAGTTTTTGTCGATAAATCTCTATTTTAGTATTTTGTCGAAAGCGCTTTTTTTCAGGAATTTATATATTACGAATTTATTTGACGATTTTTGATTTATATCACGAATTTATTTGTTTTACTAGAATTTATTTGTTTATGCAGGTTTTTCCATTGCAATTCACTTATTTCAATTTTTAATAGACTTAATTATAGCCAAAATTTTAACCTTTTTAAGGAGATATCAGTTTTGGAAATTTTATCTTAAGATTTTATACTATAGCACATTTCTAATAGGTTTAACGAATTACATGTTATTTATTTGAATTCAAATTTATTTTAATGACTTAGTACTTACTAAAAAGATGTAATTTTTTTTTAAAAAAAAGTTGTTATATGGATTTGAATGATTGTTTTGAATTCTTAGAATTTTGTGCATTTGCAATGCACTTAAGTTAGTAGTGAGCGAAGCGACTTTGGTTTGCGAAACAAACCATATAAGATAGCGTAGCAATTTTCGGGGTTGGCGAGCGTCAGCGAGCAGGGGGCGCAGCCCACTAGTTCATATAAATAACTGTTGTTAATGGACAGAAGTGAAAAACAACGTGAATAACACACAAATCAAAAATAGAAATGAACTTATTATAGTTTCGGTTCTCCAAACAACAACCTTGCGAAGCAAAGAATAATATGTTAAAACATAAACTTAGTTAGCATTCGAAGAATTTTCCCAAAAGCGTAGAAAGTTGGCAACTCTGAACTGGTATTAATAACATGTGGGGGAAAGTAGTTACAGACCATGTCAACCGTCATCTATGAAAAGGTACCCCGACATAGAGTCGAGTTAACATGTCTTATATACTAGTGAAATGCAGTTGTAGTTTTGTAATGGTAGATACGCTACAAACATTTTATTTCTTTATTTTATACAAAGGAAATTGACCATCAGAATCTACTACCATTTATTAATTAACCTATGAAATATTTCGCTAAAAATATTTATGTTAAAATAATTAAAGGAAGAAAAAGATAATCATAATTAATTCTGACGAAACAAACAGTAACAATTAAAATGTTTTCTCTGCAAATATTTTATCGTTTGCAGGCAAATAGCACCTCTGCAACACATAAATAGCACTCAATAAAGTCTAAATTTTAATATGGGAATATTAAAATGTAGACTTTAGTGATTTAAATCAATTCAATTAGTAGAATTCTAACTAAATACTTAAATTTTAATACTTATAACTAGTATTACGTTAAATAGTATTCCATTTAAAGAAATTTCTACTTGAATTGATGTTGGAAACATTGTTTTGCACATGAAATGTTGCGATTTCTTTTAAGATTGTGTTATGAAATATTTTAATGAATGTTGATTATTGTTGCATGAAAAAAAAGGTAAAATGGTAATGTTCCAAAAATCTACTCTGATTATTTTTAAATTAACGATGTAATATTTTACTTAGTCACGATATAATATTTTACATAGTTAAAAATTTTAATACTTTAATAAGTATTACGTTAAATAGTATTCTATTTAAAGAAATGTCTACTTGAATTGATGTTGGAAACATTTTTTTGCACATAAAACGTTGCGATTTCTTTTAAGATTGTGTTATGAAATATTTTAATGAATGTTGATTATTGTTGCATGAAAAAAAAAGGTAAAATGGTAATGTTCCAAAAATCTACTCTGATTATTTTTAAATTAACGATATAATATTTTATTTAGTCACGATATAATATTTTACATTGTCATGATATAATATTTTACATAGTCATAGTCACGAAATAATATTCTACTCAAAAAATGTCTACTTGAATTTATGTTAAAATATAAATTTTCTTTTGACATGAAACGTTGCGATTTCTTTAAAGATTGTGTTGTCGAATATTTTAATGAATGTTGATGTCATGAAAAAAAAAGTAAAACGATAATGTTCCAAAAGAAATTTATTATGCTTATTTTTGAAATTCCAAAAACTGATTATTTTTAAATTCACGATAAAATTTCCCATTATTATATCCTTACGTCAGAGAAATACCAAGAAATGCGTCCATTGGCCTTGAGATTTATTTGATACCCAAAGGGGTTGTTATATAATGTTATTTTTACTAGAACAAAATTAATTCTTTCCTTCTGAGAAATAGCGAAATTCATCACATGCTTGAATGAATAGGGACTATTCTAGTTGTAAAGAATGACGCCTATGACAAGATAAACTAAATAAACCAATTGACGGCGAAAAGTTTTCAACTTTCCATTTATGAAAACGATATCCTCCGGGTGTGAAAGAAACGGCGCGAAAGAAACAGAAAAAAATGTACGAACGCTGTAGCGTTCGTAAATTTTTTCTAGTCTATCTTATGGAATATTTTTATGAAATGAGATATCCGTGGAAAACATCTCGAGATCGTATTTTATGGTCTCTTGCATTGGAATGTTTGTTCATTGCATGATGTCTTAAGAAATTAATTTTCTAGAAGTTCATTTATTTATGAAATGATCTGACAAAAAGGAAAAAAGTTTAAAGTACAAAAACTTATGAAGAAACTGTATTATTTATCGCCTGATGAATATTTATTCACTTAATTATAACTGGCATATTTATTTAGCTAGATCTTTCTATGATATCCTGAGCCATTTTATTTTAAAATTATTTTAATTATTTTCATTCAATTTTTACTTTCTTACTACTATTTTTTAATAACAAAAATTTTAAAACCTACGCTTTTCAAGTAGACTGAAAAAGAGATATCGATTTTAATTTTGAACTAAACAAAAACTAAAGAATTTTTTGAAGGAAGCAGGATGAAAAGTAGTTTACAAAATAGAACTACTTGTTGTATTACAAAATAGAATGGGATTTTATTTTATATCAGACAGATATGAAATAGAAATACTAAAAACTATCTTTCAGCTGTCTAAGAAAGAGAAAGCTATTTTATTTTCTTCAGACCTAAAACGAAAAAATTAGGGCACGTCACTTTCATAATATACTAGGTGAGGGAGTGGATTTTTCCGAAGTTAGTAGCTTTATTGCTAAAGTTATGTGTCTTAAGTTTTTTATTTATTCTGATCAAAATAATGTTGATTTCTATTTTTAGGTCTACTCATAAAAAGTGTTTTTAAAAGTTTTAATTGGTTTTATTATTTTCTTCCTTTTAGTTTCGCTTCTGTAAGTTTATGTCGAGAGCCGGTCAAAATTTTGATAGGCGATAAAATGGCGACAAAAATCGTTTGCTCAATTAGGAAACAATTGGGTATAATATGAAAAAAACACAACTACTTCGATTTAGTAGGAACAACATATGACGCAATGCTAAACGAATGGAATTTAGTTGTTGTTTATTTAGTTATTGTTATTAGNCGTTTGCTTAATTTAGGAAACAATTATAACTTGTACTGGCAGCAGGAACAGAGCTTTAGTTGAAATCTGAACACTTTATAGCTAGTCCGACAGTGGTCGAATTTTTAATTGACGATTGGGGAGAGGGGGGGGGGCTACTTTCAGCGATCAATTGAAGCTTTTTATCATCCACTCTTAAATTTTAGCACTAGCTAGCTCCAGTATAGAGCTCACTCTTAAATTTTAGCACTAAAGCTAGTCGGAAAGTTGCCGTAATTCAGATTAACGTTAAATTTCCATTGGCGTCAATTTTTGTTTGTAGCAGTCATGAAAAAAATTAAACTTTTAAAAACATCATATACAGGGCAGAACTGATTCATGAACACTCTAGTTAGTCAGAAAGTGGTCGATATTTTCGTTTGATGATAATTTATGCTTATAATGGCCAAAACATGGTTCTCTGTCAATTCGCTGCGTACAATTTGCAGTGGGATAATCCGCCGTGAGCACAACTCATCGCAACGGCAATTCGTCATGGTCACAACCACAACTCATCACTCAAGAATTCGTCCTGAGCACCAATTTGTCACAGGCACAACTCGTCGTGAGCACAGAAGAGAATGCATGCATTAATATTTTATTCGTTTTTTAAAAAGCCGAGTATGCTTTTTCAATTTTTTTTATTTAATTATTTTTCTCAGAAGTGGATACGTATTCTCTACTTAATATAAATTGTGTCTAAGCCTTAAAAAAACATGTAATGTAAAACATCAAATGAATATCGGCAAGTATATACAGTTTATAGCCCTTATCTTTAAAATGATAAAATATCTATAATATCTTTAAGGCGACAAAGGGCTTTCAAAAAATTTTTTTTGAAATTATAAAGGGATTTGCTTGAAATTTTCGGGATACATTTATATTGCTAAAAGCAACTTTTATACAAAATTTCAAAAAAATATTTCAAAATTTAAGAAATTAAAAAATTTAATTTTTTCAATTTTTTATGTTTTTTTATATTACTCCTCGCGTCTGAAATTTTGTCAAAATGACAAAATTCTTTTAAAATATTACATATTAGGTAATATTGAAAAAATTGTTGGAAGTACTTTTTTTATTTTTTATTATAGAAACAAATAACATTAAAAAAACAGTAAAAACCTACATTTTTAGGAAAAAATCATGATACCTCTATAAAATATCAAGTATAAAAAAAATACTATTCACTTAATTCAAAAAACTTTTCCAAAAAAATGTTAATAATATTCATAAATATATAGCATTAAATTCTCAGGTGAATAGAATGAAAATTCATTACGCTGGAACAGTTTGAAAATTGTAAATTTCTCAAAAAAGACATTTTGAGAAAAATGACTTTTAGTACTTTTTCATTGCAAATTTTACATCTGAGCAAATATTTCTTCTTTTTAATATAAATACCTATAAATATTGTCTAATGAACTAGTTTAATAATTACATACTTTAAATTTTTTTAAAAAATTAACAAAATATTCATCTAATTTTAAATTAATTTTAAACTAAACTAATTTTAACAGTTACCTGCAGACAAAAAAAGGGGCGTGGTCAAAACTGAAATGGCCATAACTTCATCAATTTTACTCTTATTCCAGAAATATTTTTTTTTAAATGCTCAGTTAAATGCCTAAATTTCAAAAATATAAAATGTAAAATATCGATTTTTTGACAAATTTTTGCTTCTTTGAAAGTCCCTTGTCACCTTAAAGTAAAGTGAAAGGCAAATGATTACCGGGTAATATTTTAATTGTGCATTCCATATCACATTAACCAAAAGACATAATTATAACTAATAATAACAGGATTAACCTTAATAATAATACAGCAGGAATGTATGGGCATTGCCTGATATTCCTTACACTATTATCTTTTAAGATACAAGGCCAGTGTTCAGTATACACTTGTCCAGTATTCCCTACACTGTTGATTTTTTAAGCTTAAAGACCATGTCCGTTATACCCTGCACTGACATTTTTTTCTTTCAAATCTATTGTAAGTGAGAAAATCGTAGCCACCTCCAAGAGGGTAAAAAAAAATCCGTTTCAAATTTGAAAATAAATTTTGTGTGTCTTGTCTGTCTCAGAAAACTATTGGCATTCATTATCTACCTTTCCCATTTTCAAAAATGAATAAATAAATAAATCTACTTACATAAGGAGGAAAATTTGTATTAAAGGGATTATCTAAAAAAGGTGTTTGTTCTTAAGGAATGCATGAATTTATTTATTTCAAATATTTAATCAAATCTATATCATTCTAGTTCTGTAGTACACTTTTTCTATCGTAAATGCTAATAACGATATAATCATCCCAAAAGCCAGCAAACAGAAAGCTCCAAATAAATCTTTCAAAGATAAAGCTTTAGTAGCAGGATTCTTGGCCTGAGTGCAGATATCGTAATACAAAGTTGATGCTATAAAACTTCTGTGGAGAAGACCAGCTTCCACGAATTTAAGAAGACTGAAAAAAAAAAAAGAATTTTGGCATGAGAAATAATAGCATATAGAATAAAAAAAAAATTTAGGCTAATCCGTGATGATCACCCACAATATATATTTCCATAAAGCCAATATAGCAAGAACATTCGAGATCGTGAATTAATATTTAATCAAGGAAGAAACAATAAATGCTATCATTGATGGAAATCGGACGAATAGTTGGTAATCTCAGTTGGACAATTTTAAAAAATGCGGTTTTCCGAAAAAAATAAATTATTGAAATTTGAAAATGTATCTATGACACACTTTTGAATTGATCCTAGTAACTTTTCTAGATATCACTAGTAAGAAAAGTGAGATAATAAAATTCCAAAACTAGTTAAATTGCCTGATGAAATTTGAAGGTATTTCTAATAACCACCTGCCTCTGGCATTCAAACAAGTTTCTGCATGGTTAGTCCCGTTTCATCAGAACACATTTGTTAGGTTTCAATAGTGTTTTTTATTGCATCTAATGTGTTTTTTTTACCAGGATTATATAAATATATATTAAGGGTTGCCGTTACAGAATACCCTGCAAAGATTTAAAATATTATTATAAACTTTCAAAATGTCGAGTGGGCCCCCTAGGAAAAATACTAGTAGGGGATGCGTTTTTATATTCAGATTGATTTGCAAATATCCTACGAAACGTACGGAATATCCTGCATCTTACTCAGTTTTAGAGAACAATAAAAGTGGCAAAATAAAAAGTATGATAAAAAATAAAGTTTAATAAAGTTAACTGAACATGAATTGAAGTCATATCTAAAACGACTTTAAAATTTTCTTTAGTAAACTACATAGGGATTGTCCAAATAGTTTTTTGACTTAGATTATTTTACAGTAGAAATCCAAAACCATGTTCTTACACTCGTAGAGCATACATTACCGAACAAAAATGCAGCTAGTTATCACTTTCTAATATACCTCTACTTAAATTTATAGCACTACATTATAAATTTTATTGTTTTTATTCTCTAGGAAAACTTTTCATTCGTGTAGTTTAAAATTCAAACCATAAGTCCCTTTCAGTTTAAGTAATAGAGCTAAGTACTACTGAATAATGCCACATTTTTATTCTTTTAATAGTTGATGGTTGTACTACCAATAGTAATTAGGGATTAAATTTTCAACCAACTTATAAATACAATCCTCATTTAATTGGAAAATCTATAAAAAGAGCAACTTCCAAAAAGGAATCGAAAAAATTGTTAAGTAGTGAATATTATAAAATTTTTGATTATTATGTTATATTCTGTTTAAGTATTCGGTTGGAATGTATGAAATGTCGGATTTTTAAGTGGATATATAAAACTGCATTTTTTTTCTTTAAATGCTGTTGAATTAATCAAAATATGCTCCATTTGCTTCAATACACTTTTCAAAAAGTGCATAGATGCCTGCCATAAAGAAGTTCTGAACCTACCTTTAGAATCAATAGACTATATGATATGGAATCTTTCAGACTGTCTCTATTTTCATACTGTTTAGTCCGCAAAAATTAGTGAAAGATAAGCATGAGAATCTGCATGAGCCTATTTGTGTGAGAATCTCTAGGCTTTTTCACCGGATCTCTCACTAATCGAATTTCATTTGAACATTTCGAATAGTTTTTACGAGCTAAACAGTTTGAAAATGGAGACAGTCTGAAAAATTCAATATCATAGTATATTGATTCTAAAGATCCGAACTTCTTTAAGATAGGAATCTAAGTATTAAAATCTCGTTCGGAAAGGTTTATGGAGTACATTTTGATTAAAAAAACAGCTTTTGAAAAAAAAAAGATATGCAGTTCTTTTATGCACTTAAAAATCTGGAATTTCATAAGCATTAACTTAATTCATTCAACAAGAATTATTTATCAATGTTAAAAAGTTGCTACATGTAGCGATAAAAGCGTGAAAACTCATTATAAAATGATGAAAGGATTCTTCATGAATAAGGTAGTCGTAGCCCTGGCAGTACTTTAAGATTACTTTTGCCACAAGTATGGGTACGATACTAACTTAACATTACTTCATTTAAAATTGAAAAGAACGGGTATAGCAGGACAAAGAGGTGAGGTACGACCTTTCAGCTAGGTAATCTAGGGCTTAGTTTCAGCAAAGTTGACATTTTTGAATCAACGGCTGCTTATGTTTCTTTAGTAATTCGTTTTATTCTTTTTTTGCATGTTTTAATAAAATTTTTAAAGCAGATGTGTCTCAGGGGACAGAATTTCGAATTCCAGCAAGGACTGGTCGATACGGCTTTTGATCTCAACTAACACCGACCACAATGCCGGCATAGAATATCCTCATTGGTAGATGGATCACAGTTTAGAACGCCCTTTCTGTCGGGCTAACCAACGAAGGTTTTAGTCGTTTTTCTCTTTATGTAGCGCAAATGTGGTTTGGTTACAACAAAAAATGATCCACGAAAGCTAGTTTGTCTCAATACTTGATCCAAGAGTTCCTTGTCTTCAGGTTTTGGAGCAAACTTTCAAGACTACATAAGTGAAACCAATAATTAGTCAGCTGCAAAAATATTTAAAAAAAAATAATAAATAATATTTAGGAATGCGCGACTAAAATGCTTAATTTGAACTTGATTTATTATTACTACTTGATTACTTCTATTACGTTTCAAACTAAATAGAATATAATTCCTGATGTAACGAAATAAGTGATGAAATCATGCCACTAAGCCTTTTAGAACGTAAAATAGTGATTGAAAAATTTCTTTTCAAATTTTAACGCATTTTGAAGGGTAGCATTTTGACATACTTTCCTACTTTAAATATTAAAAATAAGTTATTAACCTAGCGTTTTCAAAACTTAAAAATTTATCTGCAAGAAAAAATATTGCACCAGGATAATTTTTTTACACAATAACCCACTAGGATAAAGTTGTTACACAATTTTTAAAACTTTTTGTATTTTGTGTATTTATACGTGTTACCTAGTTATTGTTATTCTATATAACTTACTTCTGCTCGAATTGTTCCTTTACAACTTTCGAAAACTGTTTATTGAAAGCTATTGCAATATATGCAGAACAGAAGCTTATTGGAGTGGCACGTATATTGCATTTTCCAGTTTGTCTAAATCTCTCGCCAATAAGAGCTCTCATAAACATATTCTCACTAAAAAAGACCACTTTGCCATCTTCAACTTCATCCATCCATGGAGGAATCTTTCTAAAATCATTAAGATTTGGCTCCAAATTACCAGCCATCCGTTGCCAAATTGATGCATATAGTACATTGTATTTGTTCTAAAAAGTAATTAGGTATAAACGGTTAATGCTATTATTTTTCTCAAATGAAACTAAAGTAAGTTAGTTATCAGTTTTATTGAAAATAAACATTGTAAAGGAAATATCTTTTCAATTTCTTGTACCTTATTTTGTTATATATAATAGCTCCAAATAAAAAATGTAAAGCAAAGTAGTGATGAGTCGCTTTTGTGACGCTTTTATACATAATTAAAAACAAAACAGTGGTGGCTAAATTTCCTTATTTGTTTTTAGTTGAAATAAAGAAGAAAAATATTTTTCTTAAAAAAAATACAGTTTAGTCTAAGAAAAATATGACCCAATATATTTTATAAAATCGCAAAGAGTTTGACAGCGAATTTTGCTGAATTTTTATTAATTCTGAAAATGTTTTAAAAGTCATTATTAGGTATCAGAAAATCAAAATTTAATTAGCACTTTATATATTGGAATTATTTTTCGTCGTCGAGATCAGATGTACGTCGTCGAGATCAAAATCAGTTTATATTAAATTTACTTTAGCAAGAATCAGATATTAAAGCATCACATTTGATAACATTAAAAATTCTTTTCTTCTAAAGTGCTCTAGTTGCCATCACTGCCTCGGTGTGACATTATCTTGACATGACTTTTTAAAATTGAAGTGATAGATAAAGCTATGAAATTCCACTACACTTTAAATATAAACATGCTGCCAATTTGTTTTCTTAACTTCAGATTTTTTCTTATCCAGGGCTCCCAAAAGTCCGCCAAAATATTCAAGAGGTATCAAACTGCTCATCAAAGCAATTTGAAGTTTTCTTAATTTCGCAACCACTTGAATTTAAGTATTATTTACATAGCAAGTATCATACTTCTATGTATGGAACAAATTTCCAAGCAGTGACCAAGAAAAATTTAATAAACAATTTTGAAAAACAAGAAATGCCAATTTTTAGTACAAATTTTATTACCAGTGTAAAAGTTTTGTGGGAGCCGTGTTTATTATGCCTTAGTTAAGTCTCACAATAAGGCTGAAAATTAGAAAAATTAATTTAATGGAAAGAAGTAACCACCAAATGTTATTTTCTAAAGGAAATTCCCAAACAGACAGGAAAATATCATTGCGGTATTTTAAGAAATATATTATATTCTTACTACATTAATTTACTGCTATTAAAGTTAATTATTACAGAAGAAAGGGAACCCTAATATGTCCTTTAACTACTTAGGTTAGAAGATTTCCATTAATAGTTACTATTTAACACTGAAGCAGCGTCTAGTGGTCCCTCAAAATTAACACAGTGGTATATGAATTTTTGACACAAAATGCATTTCATATTTTTTTTTAAATTTAAGATGAAACATTCCTGATTATCATAATAGTTTGATAACTCAAACACAATTAAAGAGCTATGTTATGAATGGGTTGAAAATTGATTGCAATTTAAGTGGTTGCTGCACTACGTAAGTTTCTTCTGCTTTGATGATAAGTTAGCTACCATTATAAGAATTTTAATGGTTCAGTAGATGCCCTGATGAAGTGGAAATTATAAAGGAAAAACTGAAATTTAACTCTATATCTTTTCAGTAAAACAGAAATCCATTTATTTTTCGAAATATTTACATCCTACAATATTTCTTAACGACCATACTAGTTTTCAGTTATACCTGTGCAGTCTTAACCCCAGGGATGCCACGGGTGATTAAAAAAGTAAAAAGTGGTAGAAACTCAATGGATTTTTATTTATTTATAATTTCTTTAATTATTCAAACGTTGCTACCATTATGGCTCACATTTCAAATTATACATTTTTAAAGCAAAAAGATTCCTTACATTAATGATCAATAGTAAACTGAAAAAAATTTGTTGGAAAAAGTTGCTAGTTCTTTTATTCAAAGTTTTTAATGTTGATAGTCACTACATTTTCAATTGTTAGTCGCTAGTGGCAACCCTTTACCCCTTTCGGGCAATTCCAGATGCAGATCGCGGGCAGGAAATTCTCCAAAAACCTTAATCAAGTCAAACTCCTATTTATACTACAAGTAGTAGATGCGACTGCAATAGTGTTCTAATTTGCTTGTCTCTAACGAGTTCATTGAACCACCTGAGGTTTCAATACCTGTAATTTGTTGTGTAATATTGTGTTTTTGTTAGAAATAGCTGTATTTTATGAAAAATTCTGCTTATAAACAGTTGAAGTCTTAAGGACTCGTTTTATTCATCTCTAATCGAAACGAACCTCTCTGCTCGGTACAACATATTCTGAGTGGAGTGATAGAACTTAGCTCTTTGTTGTTCAAAGAATAGTGATTGCTAAATGTTTAAACGCAATTAGTTTTGCTGGACTGGCTACACTGCACCAGAAAGGGGTGCAGGGATCCCCAACCCTATGCCTGCAGGCACCATGGCACCCGTCGATCGATCTAGGTGCGCCCGCTACTTTTGCCCAACGATAAAATACTTCAATTTTCCATTTTCCCATTAAATGCTATGCAAATACATACTGAAGTACGCTGGCTCAGTAAAAGCAAAGTACTTAATAGATTTCAATAATTAATTGAGGAAATTAAAAATTATCCGGCAACCAAAAATCAAACATTTTTTGAACTAAGAGATCCTCTTTGGCTCGCAGATTTGTCTTTCATAACGGACATAATGGAAAAACTAAATAATTTAAACTTGGAGCTGCAGGGAAAGGACAAGTATGTAGCAAAAATGATAGAGGCTATAAACTCATTCAGAGCTAAGCTAGTTTTGTGGATATCACATTTGAAAATGAAGTCTCTTGCGCATTTTCCAAACATGAAAAAAATTATAGGTGGCAGTGAAATTGACTTATCAACATTTGTCATCAACCTCCAATTGCTTGAAGATCAATTTGAAAAGCACTTTCAACAATTTAATATCGAGCCTTTGATAACCTTTTTTGTTAATCCTTTTACCAACCAAATAAACGTAACCGTAATAGCAACATACATTTCAGAATTTCTTCAAGTAAAGCGCGAAAAGAAGTGGAGATAGAAATTGTGGATCTTCAGAATGACATTATCTTCAAAATTATTATATCAGATGAGAAATTCTGGAATATAGTTGAAGGAATAAATTCCATTCTTAAAAAGAGCAGTACATAAAATAAAATCGTTTCTTGGTTCCACATACTTGTGCGAATCATTGTTTTTGACAATAATATCATGAAGTCAAAATATAGATCCCGAATTACAGATGAACACCTTGACGATTGGTTGCGAGCAGAAATTTCATCATATTCTCCCAATTATGAAGCGCTAGCCAGCGAAATGCCATGCCAAAGACCACATTGACTGTATTTTATGAATAATTTTTATATTTCGTATGTTTTGAAACCAATTTTGTGATCATTTATTTTACACAAAAACATTAATACTAATTATATTCATATGTTAAATTAATTTTTTGTGCATTACATGAAGTGTGTATTATTACCTATGTCTATCAACTATAAATTTATCTTGAAAAACTAAATGGTGCCTGCCATTCGACAGATATTCTGGTATTTGCTCTTAGGTACAAAAAGGTTGGGGACTCCTGCCCTAGGGCAACTGGGACTGTTAGCACAGATAATTGGAGATAGATGAGTCAGTTGGAGGCAGAAATAACATGCTGTGGTGCACAGCTCAAGTAATGATTCATAAGTAAAAGATACAATATAAGATAAAATATATAAAAACTTAATAAATATCTAATAATGAGAATTGAAGTTTTAAAAACAATTTAATTATCTAAAGGGGGGAGCAATTAGTTAATTATCTAGGGTATACTCCCGAGCTGAGAATCACATTTGTTCCTTTCCTCTTCTCAGGAGTATCCATGTGAGTTAAAAAAAGAAAGGGGGGGGGCTATCTATTGTATCGACCTGACACTATCCCATTTGAGAGCAATTATTTCTGGCATTGTTGAAAAATCTTGCGCTTAGTTTGTTATTAAACTCATTCATGATGTCAATATTCAGGCCTCTTCTAATATATTTGTTTGGAATGTGCCAGGGAGCACCTGTAAACCTACGTAGGAATTTGTTTTGCTGAGTTTCGAGTTTCTTAATCTGAGTATTTCTCAGGCAATTCCAGGCCGGAGTGGTATATGTAATAATTGGCCTCATACAACTAATGTATAAATAAATGCCTTTTTAGATTTAATGATAAATAGGAGTGAGGCACACTTCTATTTATATATAGGTTTGGCGACAATGCTCCCGCAGCTTTCGATACGATTCTAAACAATTCTCGTACAACTCCGTAAATTTTAGTTCTATCGCTTCGCAACTTCGAATAAAACTATCATTTTACCGCCAAAATGGTTGCCCAACATCGCGTAAATGTCAAAATTGTCACCAAGTCGGCAAAAATGTCACCAAATTGAGTCTTCCAATGCCTTAGGCTTCATTTTCTCTCTAAATTACGCTCGAGTTACGTGACTTTCTTACAAATTTTCTAATAAAACTGTTTATTTAGGGTCCGTCTGAAATATTTAGCCTTATTATAACGAAAGAATATTCACAAAATAATTTAACACATACAGACAAATTCGTAAAAATATTGTAAGTTATACTTTCTAATGTTTCGACTGACTAAAAATTTTATATCGAATTTTGCTGTTTCAGGAAGAATTTAAATATAAAGAAGTTCTTCAACGCAATTTATGCACAAAAAACAGTTTGCGTTAATGTTTAAGATAAATGTTTAGGTATACTTTGAAACATGATTCTGGATATGTATTTTCGAATGTCTCCACTCTCACATCCTTGTTTTGCATCAGTTGCTCCATAGTTTCTATTTTAGGGTGCATCTTCTCATTTGCAAATGTTGACGTAATTGTAGACTGGTAAAAATTCATCAACACCACGCACATTAAAATCAGCCACATTCCTGACATCATTCGGAAACTCACCATATGTCCTGTGTACTTCAAGTACCACCTATCGCTTCCTCCAAAATCTAAAATGGGTGCCAAATTATATTAATAATTAAGGTGACAATAAATGCACAGAAAAATATAGATTTATTAAATATAAATACTAAATTGTATTTATTAATGGTATGTAAAATAAAGTGAAAAAAAATCTCCTCACCCTGATTAGTTTTTGATTCGTCATTTGATAGACCCTCCGATTTAAACCAGATGGTTTAAATCATAAATGACATGATTTAAACCATATGATTCACCTTATATCCTTCAAGTTCAAAGGCTGATAGCTATAAGCACAATAAGACCTGAAGGTTCTCTAACTCTTAAACTTTCAGCAATGTTTACTTCTAAATTGGAATTATTTTAGTCTGATATTTCACTCCCTCCGTTCCAAATTAGTTGCGACATTTAGGTCGAAAATTTTTTCTCCAAATTAGTTGCTGCATTTAGGTCGAAACTTTTTTCTCCAAATTAGTTGCTGCATTTAGGTTGAAAATGTTTTCTCCAAATTAGTTGCAACATTTAGGTTTAAATTTTTTCTCCAAATTAGTTGCTACATTTCAATTAGGTGGTGTCAAAAATAACTTCCGATGCTGTTTAGTAGATCGGCACCAGTAAAATTATACTACTAATGAATTCACGATTCAGTAGCTAGAAGATAGTTTTATGTGATTACTGGTGGAAGAGTCTTTACAAAAAAGAGTGTGGCTTAAACGCGTGCGAACTCTGGATTTTTTAAAATTAATTTGGTACTGACTTAAAGGAGGGAAGCAAAAAATGCCTGGTAAATAAATGCTGTTAATTGATAGAACAGCACCAGGAAATTTCTCAAATAATGGTCAGGGAAAATCATAAAATCATCAGTGCAAATAATCAATGTAAAAGTATTCAAATGTGGCAACTAATTTGGGACAGAGGAAGTAATTTAGAACAATGATAAAATTTTTAATTCTTTCAAGTTTTTATTGTGTAAAATTTTACAAAAATTTGATTTATCGTTTATTAGTATTTTAGAACAAGACTGTAAATTGTTATTTTACTTGCCTTTTCCTAAAAGGGTACCATAAAACAGCCACATATACTTCATGAAGACTTCTGATTTCGATCGTTTATTAACTTCGGGCTGAGAAAAATAAATCAAACTAGTCGTGCAAGTCACACCAAGTAAACAAATGATGACAAGCAAATAAGCCTATGGAAAATATAATTAAACAAATTACTCTATAACCCAGTAGTCAAACAACATGGCATTTGGTTTACCTTTTTGATCGGCTATTAGAGAATGACATATTTTTGTTTTAGTTTGGAACATTTTATCTCATTTACTAATCTAATATCGATTATATTGGGTTGTTCGGAAAGTAATTTCAGATTTTCCCGACAGAGGACATAATTGTACTTTTATAAATTTTTACATTATAAATTTTAAACGCTGATATACAAAAGCTTACTTGAGAAAAAGTTCGATTGATTCAAAGCAGTGGGTTTTGGTTGGTGCCTTTTTAAATATAGAAAGTGAAAAGTAGCAATTTCGGCATAGTTTATCGAAAAGGTACAAATGCTGTTCAAGCAAGAAAAAAAAATTATCCGCTGAGTATAGGGAAGATGAAGTGATAGTATGCCAGTGCCAAAATTGGTTTGCAAAACTTTAATGAAAATGCATGAAGATGCATTACATCAGTTTAGACTGATGAACACACAATAAAGGCATTCACTTTATTCCTCACGGAGGTTCTCTCCGTTATCAGCAGGATGTCAGTACAATAAGTGGCGTTTATAACTTCCTCTTAATGATGCAAATGTATTGATTTACACTTAGTTAAGCTGTATGACGTCATAGTTGGACCACAAGATTTCAGTTTTGATTTGTTTCTTTTTTTAGGATATTGTATGAATTAATTGCTACATACAAACTGGCAAATGACAACTCGTAAGATCGCTATATTCTCAAAGCTCGACATCATATGGGTTCTAAATGATCTTACGGAAGGAAATTTGTGCCATCTCGTTGACGTCTGTGATTTGCTTCTCAAACATTAAAAAAATAATAATAATAATAATAATATTAATAATAAATCCATTTTTGAAGTGCATGATGACCGGGGACAAGAAATCAGTTGTTTACAATATTTGTTTGGGTCTCTACAACAATTTTTCGACGATAATACCTTTACTTCAAATGATAAGGTGAAGAAAAAATGCATGGATCAGTTTTTTTGCCAGTAAAGAACAAACATTTTATGAGCTATGAATCATTCTATAGCTAGAAAGATTGCAAAAGGTATTGGACCAGAATGGACAATATATGATTCAATAAATTATTTATTCAAAAATTAATACTTTATTATTATTTATTCAATAAATTATTTTAGATAATTATAACTATGAAAATCGTTTTTCATTTTCAAAGAGGAAAAAACGAAATTACTTTCCAAACAATCTAATAGATTAAGCAACTATTTAATAATTGTAATAACTAAATTATTAACATCAGTCGAATTAACTAACTTCAGTTGAGCTAACTAATTACCGTTAATTAACTTTAACTAATTCCGCCTAATTGACTTTAGTTTGACTAACTAACTTCAATTTAATTAGCAAACTTAAGTCAAACTAATTAAATCAATAACTAACCAACAGAATCACTAACAAACTTACCCTAAAAGTCAAATCCTAGATAACGAAATCAATAAATCATTAACTAATGAAACCCTTAGATTGTTTACAAACTAAAGCCCTCAATCATCAATTAACTAACTAAATAATTGTAATTATAATTAAATAACTAAATCACATAATTATTAATTAACAAACTAAATCACTAAAACATTAGCTAACTAGTTCTCAAAGTTATAAATTAACTATATCATTACCCTCTAACTGCGTTATTAAACCACTTAATGAATTATTAGTAAGTTACTGACTGAAATATTAAACTACTAAACGACTCAATGAATCCATAAATCACCATATCAGTCCGTAAAGCATTAGTTGAATTACTAAATTACTAACCGATGACTAAAACACTAACTGAATCACTAAATCACATATTGAATCACTAAATCACATATTGAATCACTAAATCGCATATTGAATGGCTAAGTCACATATTGAATCACTAAGTCGCATATGGAATCATTAAATCAATAATGGAATCACTAAATCACAAACTGAAGAATGGTAAAAGCCAATATATTTCGATTGAGAGTCTTCATAAGTTTAGAAGCGAATGAAGTTATTATATTATCAGGCATATCTTTCTGCAAAACTAATAATTCAATAGTCCGAGTTTAGTTCTTTTGATAACTTCAACTTATAATACTTGATAGTCTAAAAACTTGTTTCATTTCACCTAACAATGTAAAGTCACCGGAAAAGGCAACAAGTAATAAAAAAAGGAAATTATTAAAATGTTTTTAGTTGTTAAAGTCTATTCTTTTTAGTTTTGTGCATGTTTGCGCACTGTTAATAAATACCGATCAGTGTTTGTTTACTCGAATCAAATACAAACGTTACTTGTTTTATATACTTGTTTACAAATAAAAAATTAACAGAAATAAATAAATTGAATAAATGACTTACCAATAGAGGAAATATTTCGAATATCATGAATGGACTTTTACTGGAAGGAACCATACCAGATATGAGAGCTAGCTGAGAAAAACTGAGTGGAGTAGCGAAACTCATCACCCCGGCTCTTTGTTCGTTCATAAAATATGGTCCAGATAAATCAGTTTTCTGTTCAGAACAGTTGAATACTTCATATTATTTACAAATAGGTTTTCCACAATCAACCTTTTTTAATCTTTACCCCTTTTATCACTTCTTTTAATTAGCACTTTGTATTTTTTTAGAAACTTAATCAAAAATGATGTGAGCCTTCCTGGCCGAACGGTCTCGCCGATCCCGCCGTTATCGGGAATGTATCTTTACGGCGAACTTCTCTAATCTGTGAAAACTTAAAGTCTGATCATCCATACTTCGTAATTAGCTTAGCATACAAGCCTGCATATTTTTGATGCGTAATGATAAATAAATAGAATGAAACAAACAAACAAACAAAAAATTTTATCAAAGCAAGGAAAAGACAAAAATGTTATCAAAATTTTATTTTCATTTAATAATCAGCGTTGAACAGCCGAACCATTTCTGAGTTTACGACTATCAACGTTCAAACCAGAAGCTTCGTAATTTCGAACCCAACCCAGAAGACAAGGGAACTCCTCGATCATGCATCGGGATAAGCTAGCCTTCGTGAAGGACTTTTTTTGATGGAACTGACCCACATGTGCTTTATATAATAGAGAGGAAAAACCACGAAAACCTCCTGCGGTTAGCCCGATGGCAAAGGAATTCCAACTCCCATGATCCCTCTAGCACTGAGGATATTTTTACGTCAGCGCTTTTGTCAGTACGAACAGGGAGCTTAATCCGCATTAACCAACCACCACTAGGAATCGAACGGATTACCTCATTGGTAGACCGCTCAATTCTCTGGGCCAGAGAGGCTCAGCTATCAAAGTTATACTTAATTTTGTAATCGTTGTTGAAAAGCCGATCCAATTTTTTGTGTTTACGACTACTAATGCTTAACTCCGTAGCCTTGCAATTTTGAATCCAGTCCAGAAGACATCGGATGGATTATTGGAGAGGAAAGCGTTCTAAAAAATCTAAACTAGTCTTATTATCTGATGAAATCTGGAAGTGTTTCAGTATGGAAAATTGGCTCAGCATTGCCCAATGCCAAAGCTTCTTCTTTTCTACTACATTACTGGAAAATTTGAAATTTGTTGAGTCATAATGTCATCATAATTGTTGAATTATAACGTCGTTAAACTTACTGTGACCTTAGTATAGTGCTAAGTTGAGCCATATTTTCATAAGTCTTAAACTTAAACTATGATTCAATTTAAACAAAAATGGTTCTATGTTTTCACCTCTTTTGTTTCCAACAAATTTACACCATGTTATGGTTTCCACGTTGGGCCGATATTTCTGGATGTATACAGTCACAACGATCGAAAAGTTTGCTCGTTTTGAACGTATGGGTTGCTTAGTTTGCAACAAATTTACACCGAGTTATGGTTCCACGGTTAATCGATATTTCTGATAGTATACAGTCACAACGATCGAAACCTTTGTTCGTTCTGAACGTATGGCTTTCTTAGTTTGCAACAAATTTAAACCGAGTTATGGTTCCATGGTTGATCGATATTTCTGGGAGTATGCAGTCACAACGATCGAAACCTTTGTTCGTTCTGAACGTATGGCTTTCTTAGTTTGCAACAAATTTAGACCGAGTTGTGGTTCCATGGTTGATCGATATTTCTGGGAGTATGCAGTCACAACGATCGAAACCTTTGTTCGTTTTGAACGTATGGGTTTCTTAATTTGCAACAAATTTATGCCGTGTTATGGTTCCACGGTGGATCAATATTTCTGGGAGTATACAGTCACAACGATCGAAACCTTTGTTCGTTTTGAACGTATGGCTTTCTTAGTTTGCAACAAATTTAGACCGAGTTATGGTTCCATGGTTAATCGATATTTCTGGGAGTATGCAGTCATAACGATCGAAACCTTTGTTCGTTTTGAACGTATGGGTTTCTTAGTTTGCAACAAATTTATGCCGTGTTATGGTTCCACGGTGGATCAATATTTCTGGGAGTATACAGTCACAACGATCGAAACCTTTGTTCGTTCTGAACGTATGGGTCTTTTAGTTTACGGTAAATTTACATCGTGTGATGGTACCACGGTGAATCGATATTTCTGGGAGTATACAGTCACAACGATCGAAACCTTTGTTCGTTTTGAACGTATGGCTTTCTTAGTTTGCAACAAATTTAGACCGTGTAATGGTTCCACGGTGGATCAATATTTCTGGGAGTATACAGTCACAACGATCGAAACCTTTGTTCGTTCTGAACGTATGGGTTTTTTACTTTACGGTAAATTTACATCGTGTTATGGTACCACGGTGAATCGATATTTCTGGGAGTATACAGTCACAACGATCGAAACCTTTGTTCGTTCTAAAAGTATGGGTTTTTTAGTTTGCAACAAATTTACACAGTGTTATGGTTCCACGCTGAACCGAAGTTTCTGGGAGTATACACTCATAACCATGGAAACGTATGTTCATTCTGAAGGTTCTAAACGATCAGGGTAAGCCTGTGACACAGATTCCTGAAACTGCCCAAGCTCTGTGTCTTCAGGGATAACACATGAAAGCGTTTAATCTCTCATCTACGGAGACATCAATTTTTTGACCGAAAATTATGTGTGATACTCAAGTGAAGCGTTATATTTTGGCCCCTCTGTCAGTTTCCATATTTTTTTTTTAATTAAAAGAACAATATATGAATTAAGAGAAGATCGAAGTTAGACTACAAAAGATAATTAAAAACTTTAAAATTAATCTTTATTAATTACGTTAGAAATTGTTGCTCCAATCATGCCATTCCATGTTCCATTTGCAAGCCTAGTTCCAAACATTAAATCTGGTTGAACTATCGCATCATACCTGTAATGAAAGTAATGTGTAGTATTGAAACACATAAAGAATAAATAAGGGTGTTATATTAATAAATATAAATTCCTCTTGTTTGAAAGAAACTTTTAGCGCTATAAGCAAGATAGCGTGCAAACGTTGCAACTGATAGGGTTGTATAATTCTCGGCTTCTTTTACTGATAACTCATTTCTAATGTTTTGCTAATTATTAATTACACGTTTCATTAATATACAAGAATTCATTAGTTACGAGAATAACGCATAAAATGACAATCGATTACGACTGATATATATTGGATTCATAATTGACCACCTAGGCCTACTCGAAGTAGAAAGGAACAGCTGCTAATGTAAACAAATGCCAAGATTTAGCACCCAATTAGGGTAGATATCAGGATGACGTCGCTTGCAGGTATCTAACTGAAAATACGTTGACAATTGATGACACGCGTTCATGATTAAGACTATCATTAATACTATAAATGTAGATAGAAAACTAATAAAAAAATATTTACACCAAGAATTTTTTTTATTTTATTAATAAACATTTTACATCTAACAGCTTAAATACAATCTCTTCAAAGGTAAGAAATTTCTCTCTCTGTGCATGTATATATATATATAT